TGGGGCGGTGTTCGCCCGCCAGCCAGCCCTGCCCGGCTCCGGCAGGAGCCCCCGGGCAGCTGCGTGGGTGGGAATGGGAAGGGAGGAAGCCTGCGTGTCGGAGGCGGCTGTTGGAAGCCCCCAGGTTCTCCCGACGCTGATTTTTTGTCTGTGTGAAGCGCTTTTTAACGCTGTAATATACCTAGATGCACAGAGGAAGAGATTGGCAGGTGTCCCAAAAAGAGTGGTGCTACCTCCATTTTACCCACTGGGATCTGCTCATCCATGTCCCAGAGATTGGCCTGAGCAGGAGCGCCTGGCCCCGTTGCGTTAGCAGAGCCTGGCAGGGCTTTGGGAGACTCTGCTGCTTCCCTCTGAAGTTTGGTTCTCCCTCTCTCTGAACATCACACTTTGTAAAGCAGATGAGCTGCCTCCTGCAGCTTTTGTGATCTCCTGGGCAGTAGCGGAGAGCGGTGGGGCGTGATGACCGTGTAATTGCTCGTTACCAATGCCTGTCAATGCGTCTCACCGTAGTGACGCTGTACGGCGTGTTCACCAACCACTACTCTGCGAATGGCCCGTCTCGCTGTCTCCTGCTGGAGCTGCTGGACATCAGCGTGTCCGAGCTGCTGCTGCACTCCAGCAACCAGGGCTGCTCCATGTGGATGATCCAGCACTGCGCCCGAGATGTTCTCGAAGCCCTGGCGTTCCTGCACCACAAAGGCTACGTGCACGCAGACCTCAAGCCACGCAACATCCTGTGGAGCGCGGAGGAGGAGTGCTTTAAGCTCATTGACTTTGGACTTAGCTTCAAAGAAGGGAATCAGGTTTGGAACGTGCTGCTCTCAAAGCCGTTGGCTCTCTGTTGAGTTGTGTGGGTCTGTGGTGCTTTTGGCTCATGAGTGTAGGACTTAACGTGACTTGATCAGCGTAGTAGCTGAGCTGGTGCTGAGGGTTTTCTGGAAAAGGCTAAAATGTTTTCTGGCCCCAGCAACGGAAGCTCGTGTTCCCATTCTCCTTGCATGTCTCTGGTTTCTGTTGATGTCTTAGCCTTTGTGCTACACATGACCACAAATTCCAAAGTTAATGATGCACTGAAAAAAGTGGTGTCTCAGCTTCCTGGAAAGTTTGCTAGTTTTTATGTGGTCAGACGAGTGGGAGCACCCAGATCTGTAGGAATTTCCTTTTATCATCCCTTATCGTATGTAGTAGTAATCCAGGCTTCACCATCAGCCTCCCGAGTCAATTGCGTTATCTCTGGCAGTGTCCTTGTGCTTGTCTTTACGTTCATCCTGTCTTCAGCAGCTTCCCTTTTTCAGTAAGTCTGGATGTTTCTTTCCCGTGCTGTGGGTAGGCAGTGTCCATTCTTTACTGGCACAGACAGATCTCTGCCTGTTCTGCTCTGCTTTTCCCGTTTGCTGGGCTTTCACTCCCTCTTCGTGCTGTCACTTTTTTGTCTTGGTGATACTGGGTTTTGTAAGTTCTTGCCCTTTTTATTCTCTTCCATGGCCTCTGATGAAAGCAGAGAGCCTCAGGAGGTTCTACTGGTGGCATCTTAGAGCTTCCTTCACCTCTCCCTCTCTCAGGAATGGCCTGTGAGGGGTATCAGTAAAGATTTTTGATGAGGTAGCCTCTTAGCAAATTTGCCTTTAATCCCTGGGTAACGGGCAATAAGTCTAGTAAATGAGCTATGATTTTTCTGTGCAAACATTGTCCTGGCTTGTTCCTACCCCGTGCACTCTACTCATTTAGAGGTTTTAAATCCATATACTTTTTTTACTGGTTTACCTGGTATTGACGGTACAGCCCGTGAATGTGACTGTACAGCTCTGTGAATATCAGAGGATTGTGTGGATGACCTGTCTCTGAATTCTTTGGTACAGGAGCTGTTTTTAATGTTTGTACTTCTTAACTCCTCCATGTTGTTCTTCAGTTCTCCCACGTTCTTGGCTGAACGCTGGTTTGTGCTGCTGCTAATCTGTTGCTGTCTATCAGCAAAAAACATTCTCCTGGTGTCCTGTGTCTAATGCAGGTTGTGTTTTTTTTTTTTTTTTTTTTTAATTCAGAACTGTGTTTTGCTGCTTGCTCTGTGAGTTGCCTCATAATAGCTGATCAGGTGTTTTATTTGCTTCTATGGTTCCTTCCAATCTGCTTACTTCGGACCGAGTTTCCTTTGCCCGTTCTCAGAAATACGCTGGCAGTACAGGTGAACCTTCTAACCCTGCTTTGAATGTGCACCGACTTCCCCTCACCACCTCTGCCTTGGGCAGCAGCATACGTGCATGATTTCCTTATCTGAGTCAAGACTATATTACTTTTATTTGTGACAACTCTGCCGAGCTTATCCTTGCATAACTTTTACTGCCGTTACTGTTTAACAGAGAATGGCTGTACATCGAGCAAGGTCTCAGCCACTTTCGTCTTTCAAAATGCTTTAGATCGTAGGAGTGAAATTCCGTCTTGCAATTTTTGCTGGTGGCTTTGACCACGGTGTTTTCTCTCTCTCTAAATGTTGTTTGGTGAGGCTGATAAACTGCTGCTTTTGCCATGCTAGAGGTTCTGCTCTTTGCTGATAGGAGGAGGGACGCTGATGAGCAATTTGTGTATCAATTTTTTTTTAAGTTCGTAAAACACTTTTGAGCTGTGTTGCCTGAAAATGTCTTTTGTAAACTTTATTTTCAGTCAGAGAACCAGGTAATTTTGGTTCGAATATATTCCCCTGGTAAGAATTCCCAGTCCTGCGCTTTATCCAGGAAGTAGGCTTGCATATTCTTCTGTCATTCCTTGAGTCGCATCAGCATGTCTAAAACGAGCCCTCCCGTGTTAAAAAGATGCAGCATGTGTTTTGCCTTTGACACGTAGAAGACTTGGCCAGACAAAGCCACAGCGGACTGGTCAGGTACTGGCCATGAGCAGGAGGCTGGACTGGAGACCTTCAGAGCAGCCCCTCCAACCAGCACTTGTGTGATTCTATAATTTCCTGTTTCCTTTTAAGCAGGCAGTGCATGGGCATTTTATTTTACTCTGCCAGCCGTGGCAGCCGGGCAGATATTGATTGCTGTAGCACTTCTGGCTGCAAGGGGGAGAAGGAAGAGGTGCGTGGGAAGTGCCTTTGATAATTTCCTTGTCTGAGCGTTAGGTGCTTGCTTCATTCTTTTAGCATTTTGTTCCAGAGAACATCAGTACTTGAATAATGGCAGCTGTTACTGATCCTCACTGTTGAGACCGGGCTGTTTGTGCTCTCATGCAGCCGACGTGGGAGCATGTTGTGGGTGTTCAGCCCTTATCCTGAAACTTCTAGTGTCATCTGCGCTTATGAGATGTTAATGGGCCAGTCTGCAGTGACATCCAGCCTCTTCCTGCCAGCAGTGCTGTCTTTCAGCAAGATCAGATGTTAGTGGGATGCCTGCTGTTTTGCTGGGAGATGTTTTCTCTTGCAGACGGTCTTGGTTTTTTCCTCATCAACACAGCAGTATAGCAAGTTGAACTGCCTGCCTAACATGACTGGCTGTACAATGCTTTCTGTCAATTTAGCAGTAGTATTTTGGTCACCCATTTGGAAGGGCCTCTGTGAATTGATTTAAGGATAGAGCGGAGAACCTGAGTCTGGAAAATTAACTTCTTGTGTTTGTTTGATCTTCTGTAGGATGTGAAATACATTCAAACAGACGGGTATCGGGCTCCAGAGGCAGAACTGCAGAACTGCCTGGCACAGGCAGGGCTCCAGAGTGAGACGGAGTGTACCTCTGCTGTGGATCTGTGGAGTCTGGGAATTGTTTTACTGGAAATGTTCTCAGGAATGAAACTGAAACATACAGTCCAATCTCAGGAATGGAAGGTGAGTGAGAGCTGCTGCAGGCATTCTTGCTTGCACCAAACAAGTCCTCCTGCTTCTTGTTGGTAACCTGGATTTGTGAGGTAGCACCTGGCAATTAGAGAGCGTTTCCAGGATGTTTCTTTAATCCTATTGCCTTGAGAATTAAAGTTCCAGAGCCTTAAAGACCCGCCTGCCCTGCGAGACTGGCGTGTCTGAATGCTGCCTGCGTTCAGGTTACTGAAAGCTGAGGGCTCCAGGATTCTGTGTTTGGAGCCTGTGTCTTGCCAAGATTTGGGAGGTGAGTGGCACTGGCTATAGTGTCGCACAGAAGGAAGAACGAAATGGATGGCTGATGGCTGCCAGCTAGTTCAGCAGCACAATGACAGAGGAATTATTTGCTGGTTTTAGTCTAACATTAGCACTAATCTGGGGATCTTCTTGTGAGTCTATATCCTGAGAAAACAAAAGGAAGGCTCTGTGTTGTGAGCTTGGAGCCTGACTCTGTCCTCTGGTCTGTATGAAATTATTTTGTTTTGTGTTCCCTTTCCCTGTAAGAGTATCCTTTCAGCATCATAATGTCCACAGTAACAGCAAATTGGCGTGTGTGTGGAAATTTCCAGCTTTCACACAGGCAAATGGGAAAAACTTCATCTGACGTGGGCCTGCTGGTTTAACATGTGAGGCTGGAGCGCTGGGGATTTCTCACAAAACACCACAGTACCAGAGCCCTCTGCATCCAGTCCAGAAAATGATGGGTTATTGCAAGCTTTGCACTGGTCTTTTCTTTCCTCCCTAAGCACTGTTTCTTTTTCTTTCCAGACAAACAGTTCTGCCATCATTGATCGCATATTTGCCAGTGAAGGGGTGGTTAATTCAGCCATTCCAGCTTATCACCTCAGAGACCTTATCAAAAGGTATCTTATATTTACTAACTGTTGCTTAAAGATGTGCTCTGTAAAGTTTCATGCCTTGCTCTTGGTAACTTAGAGCCCACACCTAACACTTTTTTTTTTTTCTTTTTTAAAAAGTCTCCCTGCCACTGTGCTAGTAACAAGCGCAAGCATTAGCAGAGACGCTTCAGCTTCTCTGATTTTGGCACGGTTTGGAGTAAGCACATAAAAAAATAGCAGTCATGCTGTTCCTCATTTGCTGTCTCAGTGCTTTGCACTTCCTGCCAGTGAGGTTATATTTGGAGAAAACTGGAGACTTTGCTGCTTTAGGGGAGTGTTGTCAGAAACAAGGGAGGGGGGCAGACAGTGCTGCTTCTCCACTGCTGTCAAGATTCAAATGCACTTGTGCAGCTCTCTACTGAGAGGTCTGCCAAGGGGATTGTTTTTGCTGTCCTGTGACTCTGCTCTGAGGCTACAGAGTGAATGAGGACACAACTTGGCAGAAATAGCGTCGGGAGCCACTGGTAAAGCTGAGTAGGGCATGTTCTCAGGCAAACCCTGGGCTATTAGCTGCTTTGAATCCCATTTGTGGAAAGATGTGGGAGCTCCTCGGAGTGTGATCACTTTCATGAGGCTGCATATGTGTCTGAGATGTGGGCTGAATGGCCTGGGGAGGTGGAGCTGGAACGTGCCATGTTCCTTGTGAACTTGTAAGTGAGCAACTTCCATCACTTGGTGCTGAGAGACATCGAGAAGGACAGCCTGCTGTCCCATGTACCCAGAATGCTTTCAGAGGATCCTTCTGGTGTGCTTCAGCTGTGAATTGGAAGATGTGCTTCTCACTCTTCTGTTTGTACCGTAAGCACCCTAATGATAGGGTATTCCTCTGTACTGGCTTCCAGCCTGAGTTGAATTTGTTGATGCAGGAATGTCACATGCAAGAGCATAAGGGTGTCTTCTCTTCCAGCATGCTTCATTGTGACCAAGGAAAGCGAGCCTCCGCTGAGAAGGCTTTATGCAGCCCGTTCTTCAGCATTCCCTTTGGTAAGCTGTGCACGTCGCCCCTGCTCGCGGCTTTCTCAGCATGTACTGGAAGCAGCACAGAGCGCAATTAGATTGTGTTGTTTCTGGTTCTGGCCTCGTCGCTGCTCCTTTGCTCTTTGCGGCGCTCGGCAGCCCTCTGCGGTACCACAGCAGGCAGGTCAGAGCGATGCCTGTGCTCTCAGTGCTGCACTGCCCCTCTAGCCCTGCAGGCTGTCACTTTTCCCTGGTTGGACTCCCAGTAAATTCTTCCCAGATCAAACTGATCAAGACTGTATGGGCAGCAGCATTCAACTGAGGGGACAGAAGTAACCAAGGTACTTACCTAATATTGTGACTGTTAAGGTGCTTTTGAAGGGTGCAGTGCTATTTATGGTGAGTGAGTGGTTTTTCTTATGCCAAGAGTTTCCCAGTTCAGAAGCCAGGAATGTGAGCAACTAGGGCAGTGGCTGGTGGTAGCATCTGCTGCCTCCTCTGCACAGGTCAAATAATCCCAGTGTGTTCTCATGGTGTGAGCCTATTTTTGCAGTGATTGGCCTGCCTCTTCTGGTGCGTGTGTGGCAGGTCACAGACAGATGTCACTGTCTCTTTGATCTGGCACTTGCTCTTCAGTTTAATAAAATGGTAGTGTTTCCCCAGGACCCTCCTTGTGGGTTTCAGGCTGTCAGCAAAAGATGGGCTGAGACCTCCCTGTTTAGGCTTGTATCCCTCCCTGTTTAGGCTTGTATCCCTCCCTGTTTAGGCTTGTATCCCTCCCTGTTTAGGCTTGTATCCCTCCCTGTTTTCTGTTCCAAAAGCAACACGGTAGCATTCTCCAGAGCTTGTCCACCTTCAAGAACACCAGTGAAGAGCTTTGCGTCCAGCTTTTCTGCAGCATAAATTAATGCTTCAGGCATCCAGCTTCTGGCTGGGCTAGCATTTTCTCTTGAATCTCAGCCCTGCTTTTCTTAAGTTGCTTGGTTTACCTTGCAGTGAAGGTTAAGTATTGCCTCTTGAGGTCACATCAAGATACTGGTGTTCCTGTGTATTAGGCAAAGGTAACAAACCCAGTCCTGTTTTCAACTTCTCTTGCATCTCAGAAACTGGGACTGTTGTAATCAAAGCCACCTTCCGTGGAAGGAGCTGAACCTTGCAGCCAGTATTGCTTTAGAGCAGAGGGAATACTATACTGGCAGTGCTTTCTGGTCTAGTTTTAAACACACAGACCTCTAACTGTACCTAGGAAGGTGCTTCTGTGGTTAGTGCTACAAGTTTATACAACAGCTTCAATTTTTCTTAGCTGCTGCTTCTCTTCTTTGCCAAACTTGTACATAGCTTGTCTGCACAAAGAAGCATTTACTGTTGCTTTCCCGGGAAGTCAAAAAATGATCTGTTGCCTTTCACTTGGACACAGTTGTTCTGTTTAGAGCAAAGACAGCTGAGAATGGCTTTCCTTGTCATTTACAGCCAAGTCTTGACTTTCCAGTTCATCAAGTTCTTTCCTGAGCTGCTTGCAGGCTGCAGCCCTCTGTGTTGTCAGCGTGGTTGGTATCACCTGGCATTCTGAAGAGGAGTAGAGGGGATGGGCAGAAAGTACCTCCTAGGGCAGAAGGGTATTGCAAGAAATGCATTTGTCAATGGTCCCAGAGGTTTGAACATGCCTGGTTATCTGAATGCAGCACGTTTCTTCGAAGGGCTGTCCCTGAGCGCTATCTGGGCATCATCTAGACTGATAAGGCCTTTCATCCTCTAAGCTTTTCATAAGGACTCTTCCGTGTCAGACAGGAGGAGATTTATAGCGTATGTGCTTGCCTGTCATCTCCCCTTGCATTATGAAATCAACGTCTTCTGTCTGCCTGGCAGAGATGTCAGCTCCCTCATATGTATGGTGTGCTTAGCTTGGAGAAATATGTCCAAGAAAATAATAGCCTGCTATCTTTGCAAATGTAGTCAGAAGGCTTAGGCTGAAGAACTGGAGCCATTTCCTCCCTTTTCTCTCCTCTCTCTCGCTGTCAAGTGTGAGAACTGTGAGGTACTGCTATTGTGTTCAGCTACTGTAGCTGCCAATACAAATAAAAACATTTGACACTCTCCAAGTACTGCAAGTTGGGCTCCCAGATCTTAAACTCATGACTGGCCTGCCAGTGCCTTTCAGGAACATGAAATCAAGCTTTTGTCCCTGGAGAAGCAGCACTGTCCCTGCTGCTTTGAGTTTCTAGAGGACTGGGTGTCCTCTTGGACGTGACTCATAGTTTGGCGTTAGTCTGTCCACCTTGACTGTTTACTTCTTCCACAGTAGTATCCATGATACACTGTTCCAGGCCATCCTGGGGCTGCCTGTTTTTAGAGCCAAGCGCCCCATGGCAGTGAGCTTTATTTCTGCTCCTGTAATGTTGTCCACAGGATCACAGCTTACCCACCTTGTGGCCACCCTCTTGTGGCCATGCCTTAGTCTGTAGCACTGTATTACGTCACTAAGTAGTTTTCCACGTTTCTGTTGCAAGATTTTACAGTGGTCTTTGAAACAGTGCATTGCAGTTGGATTTTGAAGGGGGGAGAGTTTACATGGTGTTTAGGGAAGAACTGAAAGATATCCTAGAGAGAGATGAGGCTTGTGCCTCAGTATAGCTCAAGAATTGGAGTTACAGAAGCTGGCCAGCCTGTTTTCAGCTTGTCTGGTAGCAGTAACAGGAGAGGGAGGTTGCAGAGTAGTTCTTTCATCTTCTTGCGTCTCCATGTGTACAGGGCAGTTTGCTCAACTAGCCTTACTCTTGAGGTCACATCAGTTTCTGAATCTGAGCTAAGTAGACATAACTCTAGTCTTAATTTCTGCTAGCTTTGTAATTTTAAAAGCAATTTCAGGTGCTGGCCTCAGTATAATTGCAGAGTGCACTGAACCCTTTGAAAGAGTCTCTCAGTGCACAGGTGAAGATAAGTTGGAAACAGGGAGAATACAAGCTGTAAATGCAGGTAACAGTGGAGAGAAACAAAACCGTACTGCAAGGAGCAGTAAGTGCTTGTGTATGATTGTGCATATTGAGTCAACTTCCTGTTTTCTTGCTCCTTTGGACTTTGATTTCTTTTCTTTTCTCTGACTGTGGGTGTCAAACAGCTCCCCATATCGAAGATTTGGTGATGCTCCCCACACCTGTGCTGCGGCTGCTAAATGTTCTAAGCGATGCTTCTCTGCAGTGCGAAGAAGAATATGAAGGTTGGTGCAAGCCATGCAATTCCCATATAGCAATATCGTCTTACAGGCTCTGTTTTGTTCGGCTTTGGGGATGCAAGAGCAAGCAGAAGAGCAATTAATAGGCGCAAGAACAGCAACCAAAGAGCTGCTCAGCTGAGATTTGATACCAAGTGGGTCAACTGCACCAACAGAGAATAGACTAAAAGATTGAGAGAGAAAGCAGAGCTTGTAGTGAGTTTTTGAAGGATCCCAGATTAAAAAAAAAAAAAGAAGTTTATTCTGTGAGCATTTAGCCAAAGAAGAAAATCAGACCTCATAATGTATTTGTGGCTTCCGCTGGACATGCGGAGGACTCTGGGGCCCACTAGCAGAGATCGTCAAAAGTTTGCTAGTGAACTTATCCAAGATCTCAGCAGAGAACTGAAATATATCGTTGGAGATCTTAAACTGTAGCAAAAACTGTACATGGTAGGTGGCAAGGCATGTTGGTGGAATTTGCATTTCTGCTCGCGCTCAGATCTACGTGAGTGGCAAAAGCTAGAGAGCTCTGGGGATATGAGTTTAAAAGGCTGGGTTCTGCTCACACAAAGAACAGTTTGTGGCAGTGACTTTAGTTCCCCTCCTCCAAGCACCATAACAAAAAAACCAAACCAAAACAAAAACAAAAAACCACTCACAAATCCCAAATGTTTTAGCTACTGGAAGGCCAGGCTTTGTGTGCAAGGCAAAGCACTGTCCGTGTGCTCCAAGCCCTGCTGTCGGGGATTCACTGCCTGCAGATCTGTGTTCCTGAGCCTCAGTTCAGACACTTCATCTCGTTATGTGGCCATTAAGCAGTGTCAGCTTCTGCTGTGGCACCTCTCGATTGTTTATTTTAAATTGAGAGGAAAAGACTTATCTGTTGACTGAATGTTCTTGATGTGTTCATCTGTCCTTCATTGTTTCTTGGCTCATCCTACTTTACAAGGTGAAAGACAACCAGCTCTTTCCTTTCTCAGATATCCTGGAAGACATACGGGAGGAGTGTCAGAAATACGGACCGGTGGTTTCCTTGCTTATTCCAAAGGAGAATCCTGGTAAAGGCCAAGTAAGTAAATGGAGGGAAGAGGCTTTGTATTCCCACATGCTCGCTGTGTGCTGCAGGACTGCTGCTCAGCTCCTGGAAATCTCCTGGCTGATGACAGTGCTAAAAATAGCTGCTTATCTTGAAGGACAGCACAGGTTCCTTCCTGGTTATGTAAGGTTGCCTAACCTAGGAGGTCCCCAAACAGCTTTAGCAGGGGAGCCGGAATATGGGAGGGATGGGAAGAAGCCAATGGGTGGGAGAGGAGGCGTTGAGGATGTAGAGCATCATCATACTTTCTCCCACCTTGCCAAATATGCTGCCCTTAGAAATGAGGAGCAAGGGGTGAAATTCCAGTTCAGAGGTGCAGCTCCTTCCTTTTTAGCTCCACTTCTCTGGGCTCAACCAAGGACAGAGGGGCAAAATTGGTTTGAGAGCTGTTTCTCTGGTTGCAGGAGTGGGAGGGGGCAGGTGGCATGCTGCACTGGAAGTTCTATTTCTCCTCTCTCTCTTTCAGGTCTTTGTTGAATATGCAAATGCTGGTGATTCCAAAGCTGCCCAAAAAATGCTGACTGGAAAGATTTTTGATGGCAAGTTTGTTGTGGCTACGTTTTACCCACTGAGTGCCTATAAGAGAGGATATCTGTACCAAAACTTGCTGTAGGCAGTAGCAACAATCAGGAGAGTTGTCTTGCTCCTCTTCCTCACGTGTTTTACAGTTGAATGTACAAAAGAGCTTCCTAGCCCTGCTTTTGAATCATCTGTGAAGGAGAGATGCAAAGGACTTAACTGGGCTTTGAAACCTTTACTGCTGCTTTGTGATGTGCAGAGGAGGCCGGGATGGCTTTCAGCGTGTGCTTGTGTGTGTGTTGTGCTTGCTCGTTTACATTGGGTGTGTGGCTTTGCCCCAGCGGGTGCTTGGGTGGCAGGAGTGGTGACTGCGGGGTCCTGGGAGGCCGAGCAGATCTTGGCAAGCACTTTGAAGTGATTTGAAATGAGACCATTTAAAGTCTTGGCCTTAGCGCTTGACTTTGCTCTGGAGAGCGAATTTCTTTGTTAAGCTTTCCTATAATGCATGTGCTCTCCTCCAGTGCAGAGGAGGAGGAGGAAGGCTTCCCTGCCTTTTGTTGATATCTATGGTAAATAAAGAACCAGAAGTACCATCCTCTCTAAACTAGACCAGGAAGACTTTTGAGTCTTCCCATCACACAGAGCAGAGAGAGGCAGTGAAATCAGATCTGCTGAGCCTACGGCGTTACCCTGTCACCGCTGCGTGACCCAAGAAGAGCCATCCGTCTGACCTGGCACAGATGGCACGCTGGGTGACGCTGCCTGCGGTGAGTTGAACTTGCTTGTATGCCTGGGGTGGGCAGGGACTGATGGCGGGTACGTGTCATCAGAGCAATGCCGGCCTCAGTCCCAACACAACCTGTAAGCACTTTGTAGCCTGAGGTGATGTGAAAATCCTGTCGCGTGGAGTCATCTTTCTAGCATATACCCTGTGCTGGCACTGATGCTCCCTAGCTCCGATGCCAAATCATCTGTAATACGTAAGTGTCTTTAGGTGATATTTTAGGAAAGGAGTGCTACAGCACGCAGTATTCTTTGTGTCTCAGCAGGACTCCTGCCCTGCGAGTCTTATAAGAAAGAACAAATATTTGTCTGTCGTAGGTCCCATGCTTGGCTTTTCGGTGTTGTGCATTTTGGTTTTGCATTAACCCATTAGACTTGTAGATTAGAAGCACTGACACTTTTGGTCCTTCATAGGTTACACAAAGGGCCTGAGGCAATCTGAGATCCTGTATGGAAAGGGCTCGCTCAGTCATCAGACTTGACTGGCCAGGAGAAGCTCTTTCCCAGTGTCAGGGACAACAGCCACGTGCTTTTTTTTTGGGGGGGGGGGGGGGGAAACAACTGGGCAAGCAGCATCATTGCTCCCTCCAGAGCAAGCTCTCTGCTTGTGTGGCTGTAATGCATAGGCAGACGCTCGCTCACGCAGCTACTGGCATGGGGTCGGTGGTGGCTGTTTCCCGGGCGTGTGCAAATCTCTACACCCAGTGGAGCCTCTCCCTGCAGGGGTGGGCACTTTGCTCTTGGTGAGCGCAGCGTGAGACAGCCCTACTTAGAGGGGGACCAGTGTATTCTGGCTTGCAGCCCTGGTACCAGCTTTAGTGAGGAGGAGAGCCCTCGTGAATTGTTTTCTCCAGCTGAAAAACTTGTGGGCAGCTGCCTGAACAGTCTCTGACCTTCCCTGGAACAATACCTGAATTACCTTGCAGTTTACTTTTTGCATCTTGCTGATGCTGGACTTGCTGGAATCCTGCACTTAAAAGTTCCTCTTGATTTTTGCCCTGTGCGTGTGTGAGCGGTGTGTCAGGAGATCCGATGTCTATAGCATTTCACGAGTCCGAGTTCGTCTCTGTGCTGGCGTAGAATCCTGTCTACTATGGCCCTTCCCAAACTCCCCCAGAAAGGACCAATCTCTTTGAATTTTCCTGTTGCTTTTGAGGTGGTGGGTTTTCCAGGAAAAAAAAAAAATACCCCACAATGAGTTTTAAGGTGTGATTTGCTGATCGGACTTTGTCTGGGAATAACGCTACTTTGGTGTACATAGCTGTAAAGCAACTTTGCGTAGTCTGGGTGTGTGATTCATTGCTTTCAATTTAACTGTCCTTGCAGTGAAGCACCTTTAGTGTCTGGGAGGAATTGGATGATTAGCTGGGTGAGGGTTTTTATTATGTGAAGAGCAGTGTTTAAAGTACTCTTAAGTATTGGTAGGTATTGACTGACCTCCTCAGCTCTGAGTTGTTGCTGTCCCTGGCAGGCTGAGCCAGGGAATGAAAGCATTTTGGCCCAGAAGTTCGCGTGTTGAACGCCATCGTCAGCTGGCAGAAGCAGACCCGAGAGCTCCTGCCCCGCTGAGTGCCAGCCCACCTGGGGACACGGAGAGCCCTTGGTGGGGGATGTGAGGTCTGTCACCTACAGTGGTACTGGGACAGGGAGACGCCAGGGCGCAGGTGCAGAACTTAAATGCGTTTAAGTTCTCACATGTGTTTGTCTAGGACTGTGAGCTGCTCTGTCATATTTCAAGCATATCTCTTCTTCAGTCAGAATTGTGCTTTGGATTTGCAACTAAAGATAAAGAGCCGTGCCAGGATTAATCTTTAGAGAGGAGCTACAACCTGTTCCTGCAGCCTGGTAGAGCTGTTCCACCAGAGTTTGGCTGGGGTTTTGTTCAGCCGCTTTACTAGGAGCTAAATAAATCTTCAAGATGCAAACTCCTGCCACCAGATTTTCTCTCCAGATGCTTATTGACCAAGCTTGAGCACTGAGCTGGGCAAAAACCCCAAAGCTGCTTTTTTTTTTTATTTTTATTTTATTTTCTTCCTGGCAAGGGTTGAAGATGCTGATTTCTGTCCTGTCACTGGATCTAGCCCCTGGCTTCCCTCCGCGGCCTGGGGGGTACAGGGAGGTTTAGAAAATCCTCAGAGCAGAAGCATTTTGTCATTATCCCTCACCCTCTGTCTTCAAAGCCTTTTTCTACCAAGCTGAAGCTCACTCTGGTGTCTCAGTGAGCTATTGGTGGCTTGGCATAAGTTCCAGCCCTGCTAAAGCCTGTGAGTTTCTTAACTCTAGATTGTATCTGAAGTGTGCACGGTGATTCAATCCAAGGCATCTGTCACGGTGTGTGCCTGGATGGGCCTGGCTCTCCTCACCTCTAAATTACTGCCTGCTTGAGTTGCAGAAGTGTTGAGGCTTTCCACTCTGATGCTTGCTGGGTTTCTCGACCTGTGCTGCTGACACAGCTCCCTCCAAAGAGCCCTCGGTGTAGCACTGACCTGTGTAGTCCTAGCTAGGCAGCAACTAGACGTGAAAACTCATGTGCTGCCTTTGAGGGAGAGATCTGCTCTGGGGGGGAACGGGATGAAGGATGAAGCCTCTGAAGGCAGCCAGGGAAGGCTGGTGCTGCTCTGATGGGATGCCTCCTTGGGAGGAGGCAGTCCAAGGGGCTGCATCCCCTTGGAGCGTGCGTGTGAATGGGAAACATGTTGGTGCTCAGCTGTTCCTTGGTGGTGCCTGGGTTTCAGAGCTGACCTGACACGAAATGTCACTGCCAATCGGAGAATTGCTGTCCTTCCTCTGCCACCAGTGTCTGTGTGGGAGCAATGAGGGGGAGAGAGTGAGTTCTTTACACTTCCACCTATTTATTGTATGGAAGGAGGGTAACTGGTTTTTAAATCACTGGCCAAAGCACAAGTCAGCTCCGATCTTAGCTCTATTCCTGATTTTTATTCTCACTGGTCTCCAGCCTCCTAGCAACATAGCCTGAGCACCGCGTTGCATCCAGGTTGTCTTTCCAGAGCGTTCAGTACGCTTCCTCCCGGTCTGCCGGATCCTGTAACCACGCGCCTCCCTTCGGGTTAGGCGTCAGCTGTTGTGTCCCGTCACGCACCATTGCTGAGCGGATCTGTGCTTGGTACCGATGATTAATTAATAAATGATGCTTCAGTACGAAGCGGTTGTCCAGCATGCTTTTCTTGCGGGACCGCCGGCGAAAGGCCGCGTGGCCAGGGGTCCGTCCGGCGGGGGGACGGGGCTGTGGGGACGCGGCGGCCCCTTGCTCAGCCCCGCCAGCGCGGCTGGAAATCCCGGTGGGAGCGGCGGGGTGACCTGTGCCCGCCCG